TGCTTTTTAAGTAGAAATTTGAACGGCCAAATATGGAAAAGTGCTATGCCAATAATAAAGGGAGTGCAAATTAAAATGAGATGACTATTTCTTCTTAGTCATCGGATTTTCAAAAATTGAAAGGTTTCATGATATCAAATGTTAGCAAGGATATGAAGAAATAAAAATGCAAGCACGGGTGATGAGAGCGTAAATTGGTACAACCTCTTCATGAGAAATTTGAGAGTGCTTAGAAAAATTGAAAATATATACAACTTGGGACCCAGAAATTTGACCTTTAAGTATTTACCATAGTGAAGTTCCCCATATGTGTGAAGAACACACGTACAAGGGTGTTTATTGTAGCTTTATTGAAATAAGAAGTTGGAAACAACTTAAGTATTCAGTAGTAGGAGGTTTGATTAATAAGGTTATTTATTTATTCCACAACTATTTATTGAGAGTCTTATAATGTGCCAGATGCTGGAGTTGATGCTGAAAGTATGATAGGCACAGTCTTTACTGTCAAAGAACTTACTGTCCAGCAGATAAGACATTAAACAAATAAGTACAAAAGTCATCCATACCATTATATTTGTGATGAAGCAGAAGTACAGGCTGCTATAAAACTACAGAAGGAGACCAAATTAGAAAAGTTGCTAATGGATGTATTTCAAAATAGTTTAAAAAATAAGGGGATGTATTAACATACACAAGCAGAAGTCCCATGTAGGGATGGCTTTAGGTTGGTTAATTCAGGGCCTCTGTGACATCAAGGACTCATATTCTGTTTATCTTCCTACTCTGCTAATCTCAGCATGGTGGCCTTATCTTCACCTACCACTCCTTAAAGTATCAAGTGTCTGTTTCAGCACCAAGCTAGGATATATGACCAAAACGACAGAATCCAGTGGAAGAAAGACTTTTTCTTTGTATTATTTCTTTATTACAAATATTGAGTTATTTTAATAATTTTATATTAAATCTTTAGAATTTTGAAATTATGAATTATTCACACATAGAGAAGATAAAAACCTTGTGTATATACTTTTAAGGAGTATAACAAAACTGAACTCAACACAAGAAATATAATATTATTTTATTTAGCTTTAATTTGATATGACATAACACTGTATGTTAATTATATTGTAAGAATTCTACTTGCTCTTATGTCACCATTACTTGATATTTTCCTTTTTTATTAGAGCTACATTTTGATTTTAATTTGCATTTCTCTGATAACTAAAGGAATGAGCCTATTTTCATAAACATTTTTGCATTTGCATATGTCTTCTATTAGATTCTCTTTTACTTATTGATTCATTCCTAAGTTTTCTTTATGTATTCTAGATGTGAATCCTTTTTTGAAAATATCTGTAGGAAATGTCTTCTTCTAATCTATTGGTTACTTTTTCACTCACTTAATATTATCTTTCAAAGAACAGTAGCTCTTAATTTTAATATAGTCTGGTTAACTATTTTACCTCCTTACATAGTTACTGCTATTGTGTTCTGTTTAATAAATTCTTGGTTACCTTAGGACAAGAACATGTTCTCGCCAGTATTTTGAAGCTGTCATTTCTTTGTTCTCTCTGGTTGTTGTTTTGTTTTGTTTTGTTTTTTGAAAGATTTTATTTATTTATTTGACAGACAGAGATCACAAGTAGGCAGAGAGGCAGGCAGAGAGAGAGGGAAGCAGGCTCCCTGCTGAGCAGAGAGCCCAATGCGGGACTTGATCCCAGGACCCTGAGATCATGACCTGAGCCGAAGGCAGAGGCTTTAACCCACTGAGCCACCCAGGCACCCTCTCTCTGGTTGTTTTCAAGATAATTTTTTTTTTTTTTTTTTTTGGTCTTTCATGTGAACTTTCTTTTACTGTACTTGGAATTCATATCTTTCTTAAAATCTGAAATATTTTCATCACTTTTAATTTATAGCTGTTCCCCATTCTTCCCATTCTCTCCAGCATCTCTGATAAATCTTTGTTAGATTTTTTTCGAGTCTCTGAAATTCTTTGTTTTTTTTTTTTCACATATTCTATTACTTTGTCTCTCTGTGCTGTATTCTGAGTAATTCTTTAGCTCTTAATTCTGGTTTCTTTTTTTTTTTTTTTTTAAAGATTTTATTTATTTATTTGACAGAGAGAGATCACAAGCAGGCAGAGAGGCAGGCAGAGAGAGGAGGAAGCAGACTCCCTGCTGAGCAGAGAGCCCCATGCGGGGCTCGATCCCAGGACCCTGAGATCATGACCTGAGCCGAAGGCAGCGGCTTAACCCACTGAGCCACCCAGGCGCCCCTTAATTCTGGTTTCTTAATGATCTCCTGAGCAGTATATAATTTTCTGTTTAATCTTACACCAAATTTCCATTTTTAGTTATTATATTTTTCATTTCTAGCAGTTCCATTTGATTTTCTTTCCTATGTGCCTGATTAGTTTTAGTAGTCTGGTTTTAGTTATTTGTCTAACTTTTAATACTCTTCTATTTTTTAAACATATGCATACTTATTTTATCCTGTACTTTGATATTTACAAGAGCTGTAGTCTTTGAGGGTTCATTTTATAATTTGCTTACTTATAATTATTTCTCATATTAACTTGTTTAATTGTGATAGTCAGCCTTGATTGAACCCTCAATGTTAATAGCAGTTCTCTTCTGTTTCCTTTATCAGCTTTCATTTCATTCTTTGTTGTGGTTCTTTGAGATTTTCCATGCTTCGTAGAGCTCTGCTCTCACATCTCTCCCATCATAAAAAACAAAAGCAAAACAAAAGTTTAAAAACCCCTCTTCCTGGGGCGCCTGGGTGGCTCAGTGGGTTAAAGCCTCTGCCTTCGGCTCAGGTCGTGATTCCGGGGTCCCGGGATCAAGCCCCGCATCGGGCTCTCTGCTCAGCAGGGAGCCTGCTTCCCTCTCTCTCTCTCTGTCTGCCTCTCTGCCTACTTGTGATCTCTGTCTGTCAAATAAATAAAATCTTTAAAAAAAAAAAAAAAAAAACCCTCTTCCTTTGGTTCCACTTATCTTACGTTCACCTGACAAATGTTTATTGCATCCATTATGAACTGAATGAACTCTCTGCTAAGTCCTGGAGCTTTAGGGGTGCAGAAGAAAGCATTCCTTCTCCTCTAGTGTACTTGAAATTTGGAAAGAAGGCAAATGTAGATAAATATTATAGATTAATTAAGATTGTGAAAAGAAAAGCCAGTAAAAGAATGGAATAGTAGGGGCAGGATTACTATAGTGGAAAGTCAGCAGGACAATGAAGTTCATTTAGTATTGGCAATTTTCCAATAATATTTAGAGTAAATTTTTTTCGGGGGCAGAGTGGGGTAGGGGCAGAGAGAGGGAGAATCCTAAGCAGGTTCCACGCCCAGCATGGAGCCCTAGTAGGGTTCATCTTCTGACCCTGAGAACATGACATAAGCCAAAATCAAGAGTCAAAGGCTTAACTGACTGAGCCACCTGGGCACCCTGTAAATTTTAAATTTAGAGTAAATTTAGAGAATAGATCTTTTTTTTTTTTTTAAGATTTTATTTGTTTATTTGACACACAGAGAGAGAGAGAGTACAAGCAGGGGGAGCAGCAGAGGCAGAGGAAGGAGCATACTCCCCGCTGAGCAGGGAGCCCAATGTGGTACTCGATCCAAGACCCTGGGATCATGACCTAAGCCGAAGGCAGGCACTTAACTGACTGAGCCACCCAGGTGCCCTAAAGACTAGATCTTAAAAGGATAAAGAATTAATCACTTCATCAAGGTAGGAGATTAGGCAAGCCACAGGATGAGGGTGTGAGAGTTATGTACTATTGTATCAGATTTCAAACAAATTTAAATGTCTCTAAAGTAGAAATTTTGGACATATTTGTGGGGCCTTGTTAAATTTCTAGGCATTTCTATTTGTAATTAACTTCAAATATTGAGAGAAATTCATTGATCATGGGGGTTTGGTAGTCATTCTTTTTATTGTCATTGAATCTGTATGCCACAAGTTACCTTCATTAAGCTGAATATTATGAAGTTCAGGTGACTGTGATTTTTTTCAGAATGAACTTGAAGGAGGATAGGTGCAACAAGAATAAAGAATAAAAGCATGATAAAACTGCTTTAACATCCTGCAGAAGGGCATTGGAAATTGAACTCCTTGGAATTGAGAGTTGTAGGCAGATTTATCTCTTCACCTGTCCACTCACCTAAACCAAGCAACGTTTATTAGGATCTACTTGTTTTAGACACTGTGCTGCATGCTGAGGTTGTAAAGGTGACTAAGATATTCTCTCTTTTTCGTTTTGAGAGAGTAATCAAGGAATGTTAGTTCATTTGAGCCTCAGTATTTTGTAAATTATTGGGCAAACAGTGACCACAGTTTTCACATAGAAATTGTATTATAGATAATCAATTTGAAAAGGCTTTTTAAAATGATCTATGTGGGTCAGAGCAGTTTTTAAAAAATTGTATTTTAACATGAAAGGATAACTATATAGTTAAGAATTTTATATTCTTACTCTTCAGCTTCTTAGTTTTGATTTTATAATTTGAGTATAAATATTCGTGACAATAAATACAATGTGCACCTTTTATTTGATTTTAAGAACGAGTTAATGTGATTACATTCAGTCTTACATATTGACAAATCATGATATTTTATTTGCAAATCTCATTTTAGAGAGCACTAATATGTATATCCTCAGCCAAATGAGGCAAAAAGAAAAGGTATTTTTATATTATCCCCTCATAAAAGAGTTGATTATATTTGGAATATAGGATATTATTATTAACAGTATTATTGATGATACCTTTTATTAGCTAGTTCAAGAGTGTACAAAACATTTCAGCATCCATTCGCATTTTGATTTTCATAATAGCCTGATTAGGCAGAATAACATTTATCTTCATTTAAATTGAAAAAAAAAACTATTAGAAAAATTTTAATATACTCCATATCTAATGGACAGTAATGGGGACATAATACCATTATTGACATTTCTTTGTATATATTTAGACTATAGTTTATATTTTTATTTTGTAGATGAGAATAAACTGTTACCTGCAAGATCAGGATGTACAATAGAAGATCATGTAATTGCGGGAAATGTAGAAGAATTTCGTAAAGATTTCATTTCAAGAATATGGTTGACCTATAGGGAAGAATTTCCTCAAATAGAAGGCTCGGCTTTGACAACAGACTGTGGTTGGGGCTGTACATTAAGAACTGGCCAGATGCTATTGGCTCAAGGACTCATACTACACTTCCTTGGTAGAGGTAAATAAAATCTCTGTTTTTGCACGGAATTTTTGTTTTGGGGAGCCAGGGACAGAGGAAGAAGGAGAGAGAGAATCTTAAGCAGGTTCCATGCCCAGCGCAAAGCCTGACGTGGGGCTCAATCTCAGAACCCTGAGATCATGACCTGAGCCAAAATCAAGATTCAGAGGCTTAACCGACTGAGCCACCCAGGCTCACCTGTTTGTTTTTTTTAATTTGAAGTCCAGCTTATAAACTGTGTAAAATTTTGTATAGTTAATTTCTTGACTTCCTTATGTCTTCTAAAGGTTGTAACTAATCTAGCATATTCCATCTTTATTGAACTAGGGTGGGTATGACTTACATGTATGAGTTTTTAGTAGCCTTTGGTTTTTTTTGTTGTTATTATTTAGGTTTTTTGATTGAATTATCTGGATTATCTCCAGTTCAGTAAATCTTGAGCAGGTCAATAGCAGTGACTTTGAGCAGGTAGTTGATATTTGTATATTATTTAAATCTTAAGAAATTTAAGGCATTTCTTTATTTTCTCTCTACATATCAATAATGCATTAAAATGTTTTTATCTTTACAAATATGATTATAATGAGTTAACTTGATTACGCATATTCTTAATAAGGTTATCATGCTTCATCTTAAGGTTATCATGTTTCATCTTTTAGACTCTCAAAAATATCATTGATACTTCTTACATATATCTATTTTTATTTTTATTTATTTTTTTTTCATATATCTATTTTTAAAAAAGAAAAACCTTTCTTACCATTTCTGTTAGTCCATTTTTTTTATAATTTGTACATTTGTAGGAAGATTTTAGTTTGGTATTTTAGCCTATCATATATGGTTATTACTAAGTATTATCATATTTTTAAAGTGTTAAATAATTTCCCTGCATTGCATGGCAAATATTTGGTAACCTTTCTGTAGGGATTATTGATGAGATTATTTAGAGAGAATGTTTATTCAAGAGTGGTATGGATAATACAAAGAAAAAGAATTTTTAAACTTTCTCTGAGATGATTTATTTATAGTCTTGTGCAGTCATTGGCAAGAATTGGGATATTTTTCACAGTCCTAATTAGTTCTCTGAGTCTACGACTCATTTTTTTAACCTAAAGTTACATGTGTGCTTGAAACTGTCTTATCATAAAAACTGTGAAGTAGTGAATATAGTTGGTTTGGGGGGGATCTTTGATCTTTAATGACTTCTGTTTATCAACTTTTCATTTACTAGAAAATTGATATTACTCTCTAAACAATGATTATTTTGAAAGGATTGTTTGAGAAAAAAACAAAAGAAATTTAAAACTTCCATGGTTAGACTTATATTTTAACATATAATCAAAATCCTCTTTCTGAAGTTATTCTCTCATTAATGTTAGTGATTATGTTTATTGTGCCTTTGGGTAGTCAAGACTGGATATCTGATAAATAGTACTGGTAAGGGAGTACAGATGTCCTCATTCCATTTCAGCACTGTCAAAGAAAAGAAAAAAGAAAAAGAAAAGCATTTTCTGGAGTTGTTTATTTGTACCTGAGTTTACTACTTTTTAAAAATTAATCTCAATACTTTTTTTTTTTTTTTTAAGATTTTTTTATTTATTTGTCAGAGAGAGAGGGAGAGAGAGTGAGCACAGGCAGACAGAATGGCAGGCAGAGGCAGAGGGAGAAGCAGGCTCCCCGCCGAGCAAGGAGCCCAATGTGGGACTCGATCCCAGGACGCCGGGATCATGACCTGAGCCGAAGGCAGCTGCTTAACCAACTGAGCCACCCAGGCATCCCATCAATACTTCTTTTTAACATATCTCAAAGCTTTATTGAGATATAATTTATATAACATAAATTCACTCAGTTAAAGTGAACAATTCAGTGGTTTTTGGTATGCTTCCAGGGTTCTGCAACCATCACCATCACCGAATTTTAGGACATTTTCATCATCCCCAAAAGAAACCTCCTATCCTATGACAGTCACTCCCAATACCCTGCTTGCCATATGCAACCAATCTACTTTCTTTCTCTATAAATTTTCCTACTTCTGAGTTTACTATTTTAGTTTAGTAATCTATATGACTTTAAATGCTATCTACTTATTTTAGTAGAATTGTTAAAATCTATTTAAAAGATCTGAACACCTTGCTTTGGAACTACTATAGCTTGGACGTGGCCTGATGCTTTGAACATTGAAAATTCAGACTCTGAATCATGGACTTCCAACACTGTAAAAAAATTTACTGCATCATTTGAAGCATCACTTTCAGGGGAAGGAGAACTCAAAACTCCAACAGTTTCTCAGAAGGAAACAATCAGAAGATATTCTGATGATCATGAAATGCGAAATGAAATTTATCACAGGAAAATCATCTCTTGGTTTGGTGATTCCCCTTTGGCTCTCTTTGGTTTACATCAACTAATAGAATATGGAAAGAAGTCTGGGAAAAAAGCCGGAGATTGGTATGGACCAGCTGTGGTTGCTCATATTTTAAGGTAAAATTGTATTGAAATCTTTCATCTTACGACAGAGGTCCTTAGGCTTAGAGATACTGATTTTTGCAGTGCATATATAAAATTGGCAGTTTTAAAGTCTTACTGCTTGAGAATATTCACAAGGAAGCTTTCATTTGCTAATAAGGAAAAAACAAGACCTTGCAACTCTAGTTGCATTTAATTTATCTATGACAAATTTTTCTTTTGTTCATTGGTATAGATACCCAGGGTTTCTGTCTAACCAGGTTTTCATTAGACCATCTTATTGGAATGTTCTAAAAACTAACAACTCTTTCAACCTTGGAACATGCATAACATTATATATATATATTTTTTTAATAGTGTAACCTGGGGCCTGTAATGTACTGATAGTGTAATGAAATGTCAAGAGCTAAAATTGATGTTTTCAGCATTTCTTTGCACACATCAAATTCTTGTGAATTGTAAATGTAGGGGACTATTAATATTATAATTATATCATAGTAAAAGTAAAGGGTCTGTGACATTCAGAGTAGTTAGAAAAAAGTCAAAAGTCAAATTTCACTGTACCTCAGCCTTTTATGTGCCATTTGTTTAGATATTGCTTGATTTAAAAAAAAAATTGTCTTATTTGTTGTGTGTTCCATTGTTGTAAATGGAATCACTAATATATCATCCAGATATAGTATATTATAGTAAGTTTACTCCATTTAAAATCATATATAAATTAGAAATTATAAATTTTTTTGCATATTAACAGGCTTTTATATTTTATAGGCCAGATGCTTACAAATGGAAATGTATTTGCCTAATGTTATTAAATGGATTGTTAATAATAATATCAAGTCCTGCTTGGTATGATATTTATAAAAACATAATTATAAAAGCTTAGTTTCTACTCTCCATGATACTATGTTCTGACACCAGGGATCAGAACACTTTTTCTGTAAAAGGCCTCATGGTAAATATTTTAGGCTTTGCAGGCTATAAAGGGCTCTGTTGCCTACTTTTCTTTTCTTTTTTTGTTTTATAACCCTTCAAAACTGTAAAAACCATTCTTAGCTTACGGGTTGTACAAAAACAGGCCACAGGTTGTATTTGGCCTATGGCCCATAGTTTGCCAGTCTCTCTTCTAAATTAACACATGCAAACATAAATAATAAGTCATGTGAAATTAAAAAATTATAAAGATACAGTTAAATAAAAATATTTATATTTTTCCAATTTGTCTAATTTCCTTTTACAGATATTATTGTGGCTTTTTTCAAATCATGTGTGCCATTGAGAACACAATACTCACTCAAATATTTTTCAGCTTGCAATTTTACTTATAGAATTCTAAGACTCAAAATCAGGAAATTCATTTGTTCAGGTTACTTAGGTTTTGTTTTTTTTTTTTTTTTTTTAAATTTTATTTATTTATTTGACAGACAGAGATCACAAGTAGGCAGAGGCAGGCAGAGAGAGAGGAGGAAGCAGGCTCCTGGCCAAGCAGAGAGCCCGATGCGGGGCTCGATCCCAGGACCCTGGGATCATGACCTGAGCCGAAGGCAGAGGCTTTAACCCACTGAGCCACCCAGGCGCCCCAGGTTACTTAGGTTTTTGAGTGAAGGGAAAAATAGTCATGCTTGCATTTATTTATCTATTTATTTTAAAAGATTTATGTATTTATTTGAGAGAGAGAGAGAGAAAGAATCTCCAGCAGACTCCCCACTGAGCATGAGTGCATTTGGGGCTTGATCTCATGACCCTAAGATCATGACCTGAGTTGAAATTGAGTCCAAGTATTAACTGAGGTGCCCCTGTAACTTATATTTTAATGTTCTTTGAGTAAGTTAGTGTAAGGATTGACTTGATTTAGATATCATTCAGATAATAGTTTTGAGAGCAGACACTATAGGTTAAATAAGAAGGTTAAAAAAAAAAAGATGATGGCTCTTTCCCCTTAAATTAAACCTTTAACTATTAACTGAAAATGTTAGGCTTTTAAAGGATGATATATGTTGTTTTTTAGAAAAGCAGTTGAAGAAGCAAGACACCCTGATTTACAAGGAATAACTATTTATGTTGCACAAGACTGTACAGGTGAGGAATATATATAATTCTAATGTTTATTATCTATTATCTGGTTATACTTTTTAATTTAGATATAATTGACATATAACATAATAGTTTCAGCTCTACAATATTATTTGTATATATTGTAAAATGATCACACAGTAAGTCTGATTAACATCTGTCACCATATGTAGTCGCAAAAATCTTTTTCTCGTGATAAAGACTTTTAAGATCTATTCTCTTAGCAACTTTAAAAAAAATATTTGAGAGAGAGAGGGAGCACACAAACGGAGGGAAGGGCAGTGAGAGAAGGAGTGGGACAAGGACAAGCAGACTCCACACTGAGCAGGGAGCTGGATATAGGGCTTGATCCCAGGACCCCAGGATCACCACCTGAGACCTGAGCCGAAGGCAGATGCCCAACCGACTAAGCCACCCATGTGCCCCTCTTAGCAACTTTCAAATATAACAACAAGGTATTATGAACTGTAGTACCCATGCTCTACATTACATTCTCCTGACTTATTTATTTTGTAGCTGGAAGTTTGTACCTTTTGACTCCCTTTACCCTCTTCACCTTCTTCCCCACCCGCTGCCTCTGGAAACCAGCAATCTGTTCTCTGAAGGTGAAGCTCATTTGATTAAAGTATATATATTAGTACAAGAGTCAGAGATAGGGATGGTCATGTGTGTGCTGCCTCAGAAAAATGAGAGAACTTAAAGGTTTATAATGAGAAGCCATTACTGAGTAGTTTGGAAAAAGTGAGATGATAGAATTGAAACATGAAAAGAACTCTTGTTGCATTTTTGTATCTTTGGTTTAGATTGACTATGGGAGATAGGGAAACTGCTGAACAGAAGAATTTGGTAGCTCTTAACCTAAATTTGAAATTTAAAGGGAAGAAGTCGGGCACAAGTAGTAGAATTTGTTAATTAGCTAACTGTGCAAAAGCAGAAGAGTTTGGTTTTCTTCAAACAGGGAGTTTGAAGAAAGCTGTTTTGTAGTTGTTAAACAAAACAAAATAAAGTTTTGTCTGTATATGATTCTACAAAATCCCTCCATTTTCTCTTGAAGTATTCTACTTAGGCTGTCAACACCCATCACTCTACCCAGACTGCTCTTAGAATAATTTAATCTTGCTAAAAATCCAGGGGTCACTTCTCAGTCCTCACATTACATAATTTACCAGCAGCCTTTGACACAGTCGACCACTTTTTCCTCCTTGTAATGTTTTGTTTACTTGGTTTTTAGAATGCTGCTTTTCAGGTTTTCCTTCTATCTTGTCTACTCCTTCACAGTCTTCTTTGCTGGTTTTCCTTACCTTGGTGATCTCTAAAATTGCACTCGGCCTTTAGACCTCTTCTCCTGTACACAGATTTGAATTCACCTGGTCTCATGGCTTTGCAGAACCATCTGTGTGCTATCAACTCCCACATTTATAGGACCTCTCACCAAATCCAGGCTTTTATATCCATTACTGCCTACTCATCCTCTCTGCTTGCATGTTTAATATATATCTGAGACTTAGCATGTCTAAAACTGAATTCCTGATTCTCCTCTTCTTTCCCCTCCTATGGTTGTCTATAGTATGTCTTTGTAAATGGTATGTCTCTTACTCTGTTTACTTATACCAAAACCATTCAAATCATCTCTGACTCCCTTTTTCCCTTCTCCCATCTTGCCTTTAACATATTAAGGAGTTCTTTAATTTACTGATCACTTTTAACCAGCTCCAAATGACCAGCCCATGACTAGTCCCTACCTTCACAATTACTGCCCTTGTTTGAGCCACTATCATCTCATGTTAGATTACTGCAATTCCTTCCTTCCTTCCTCTCTCCCTCCCTTCCTTCATCTATTTCTTTTGTTCTTTCTTCCTTTCTCTTCCTCCCTCCTTCTTCCTTTTCTTTTCCTCCCTCCCTCCCTCCCTCCCTCCCTCCCTTCATCCCTCCCTTTCTTCCTCCCTCCTTCCCTTCTCTTTCCTTCCTTCCTTTCTAGATTCATTTATTTGAGAGAGAGCATGTGAGCATGACGGGGGAGGGACAGAGGGAGAGGCAGGGAGAGAATCTCAAGCAGACTTCCCACTGTCTGTGGAACTTGACACAGGGCCTGATCTCAGGACCCTGAGAGCATGACCTGAGCTAAAATCAAGAGTTGGATGCTTAACTTACTGAGCCACCCAGGTATCCTATTTTCTAACTGTTCTATATGCTTCAGCCCTTGTCCCTACAGTCTATTATCAACACAGGAAACACAAGTAAAGTGTAAGTCACATTAGGACATTCCTTTTCTAAACTCTTCAGTGGCACGCTATGTCACTCAAAGTAGAAACTGCAGTCTTTACAATGACCTTTAAGAGTTCACCCAGTCTTGTGCTTGCTTTGGCAGCACATACACTAAAATTGGAAAGAGTTCACCCATTCTGGGTCACCTAGGTGCTCAGTCGGTTAAACGTCTGCCTCTGGCTCAGGTCGTGATCCCAGAGTCCTGGGACTGAGCCTCACGTTGGGCTCCCCGCTCAGTGGTAAATCTGCTTGCCTCTCTCCCTCTGCCACTCAACCTCACTTGTGCTCTCTCACTCTTGCTCTGCCCTCTGTGAAATAAATAAATAAAATCTTAAAAAAAAAAAGAAAAGAAAATGAGTTCGCACAATCTGTCTTCATTCTCCCCCAGTGTTTTACTTTATCTCCTAACCTTATTTCCTATTATTTTACCCCTTGCTAACTTCCCTCCAGAGACACAGCCCTCTTGTACTTGGAATGTGCTGGTTATGCTTCTGCCTTAAGGCATTTGCATTGATTGATCTTTATACCTGGAATGCTCTTCCTCCAAGTTCTGACATTCTTGATTTCTTACTTTGTCTTGACTTCACTGTTAGGTTTCTCATAAGGCCCTCCTCCCCACCTTATTTTAACTCCCACCCCCCACGCCTGCATTTCCTATCCATCTTTCTCCCTGTGTTTTTCTTCAAAGCACTCATCACCATCTGACGTATCTTTTTTTTTTTTTTTAAGATTTTGTTTATTTATTTGAGATAGAGAGAGTGTGCATAAGTGGGAGGGGGTCGCTGAGGGAGAGGGAGAAGCAGACTGCCCAGTGAGCAGGGAGCCTGATGGGGCCTGATGGGATCATGACCTGAGCTGAAGGCAGACGCTTAACCAGCTGAGCCACTCAGGGGCCCCAAACCATCTGACATACCTTATATTTTACTAATTTACTGTCTGTTTCCTTATATTAGAGTATATGATCTATGCGGACAGGGTTTTTCCTCTATATTGCTCACTGGTGAAGTCCTTGGTACCATATAGTAGCTACTCAATTAAGTATCTGCTGAATATATAAATGAGGTAGACATTTTTTAACTCATTGAGACCTTGATAGTGATATCAGAAATCAGATGACTGGACAATGGGGAGGAGGGATGAGAGTAAAAATGTTTCTGAAAATCATTTTTATAAAATTTAATACATATTTATTATATTTTTCTCAGTTTACAGTTCTGATGTAATTGATAAACAGTGCACTTCCATGGCCTCTGATAATACAGATGACAAAGCCGTTATTATTCTAATCCCCGTTAGACTTGGTGGGGAAAGGACCAACACCGACTACTTAGATTTTGTAAAGGTATGAAATAACTAATTTTTTTTAACATAATGAGAGATAATATGAAAAATACAGAAGATTTGCAGTCTTTTTTCTATGAAATGGATAGTCATGTACAGCTTGGATTTTAAATTTCAGTACTGTAAGATCAAATATGATTTAAAGGGTATGGTGTTCTATGACCAAGTAAAAAGCAGCAACAGTCATAATATGTAATATGTCTACAGTTCCCATTACCCCTATTTGTGATTGTTTAGTAAAGTATGTACCTTTATTTATAAAACCCACATTAAACTATTTTGAGATAATGATTGAAACAAACTGAGTTTTCTATTATTGCTATATTATCTCTTAACTTGTTTCCTGTGCCACCAAAGGTCAATAAGTAGAATGACTGTTTTATATAGACAGAAATGATGAAGATAGTATGGGGGAAGGTTCCACCTTGGTTTTTTTAATATTAGCCAGTTAAAAATCTGTTCTGTTTGAGAACACATAATTCTTTCTTCCAGATGAACCTGTCTAATTATGTTATCTTGTTTTGGGCAACAAGACATTCACTTGTCACAAAACTTTAACTTAAAAGAATTTTTTTTTTTTATTTGAGTATAGTTGACACACAATGTTACATTAGTTTCAGATGCACAACATAGTGACTCAGCTTCTCTGTGTTATTCTTGTACTCCCCACACCGGTAGCTACCAACTGTCATCATAAAACGCTAACGCTTTTACCATATCATTGACTATATTCCCTATGCTGTGTCTTCTTTTTTCTTTTAGTTTTTTCTTTTTTAAAGATTTTATTTATTCATTTAAGAGAGAGAGAGAGCACAAGCAGGGAGGAGGGCAGAGGGAGAGGGAGAAGCAGGTTCCTTGCTGCAGGCTCCCCACTGAGCAGGGAGCCTGATGCGGGGCTTGATCCCAGGACCCTGAGATCATGACCTGAGCTGAAGGCAGTTGCTTAACCAACGGAGCCTCCCAGGTGCCCTATGCTGTGTCTGTTATTGTGACTGTGACTTATTCGTTCCACAACTGGAAGCCTGTATCTCCCAGTCCTCTTACTCATTTTGCCCATCTCCCCCACATCCCTTCTCTCTGTTTATAGGTCTGATTCTGCTTTTTGCACAAAACTTTAACTTTTGAAATACTTAATTTTGGTTAAGATTATAGTATTTATATTATTTTCATAGTTTTAATAAAGTTCTCATCTTTTTAAGGCCAGAGATGGAATTCCTCTTTGAATGGAGTGTTATGGCATATAGTAATCTTGAAATTTGTCTCTTGTGTTTCAGTAACAATTTGTTCCCCACATGAAGCATCATGGTCCATGTGTATATGAGTGAAACATATATCCTCACTGTAGATTGTGCTGTTTCTAAAAATCTAGAGCAGTTGTTTTCAATACATGAGATATGGAAGTTTTCTAGCTGGTATATTGGCTTTTCATAATAGTTACTAAAATTCTGCAGGCATACCTGTTATTAATAATACCAATACTGTACTATATTGATTACATATGAATTCCCTAGGTAGAAGTGGGGTTTGCTTTCTAATATGTGGGCTCTTTAGTAAAGTTAATGGTAGAATGTGGGAAGTTATGAGCCATTTGATCTAGCAAATCCATTGAAGGTTTTGGGACTTCTGGCATGTTGCCATGTCTCAATAGGTTGTAATCACGTTTGAACTGGATTCTCTATGTCTTTTCTATAACCATGAAAAGATTAGAAACTGAGACAATCTTGAAATTGACTCCTTTAGCCAAACCCCCATTTCTGGTAGAATGGGCTGCAGATGGCTTCAAGGCATGTTTCATATAGCTGAGGGCTTTGCTACTTTGTGGTATTAATATTTCTTATCAGGTGGCAGGATTGTCTCATGCTATTGAATGATTCACAGGAGCCTGAAGTGTAGTGAAACAAACCATGGTTAGCTGTTAAGAGTGATCCTCAGTACCTAGCATATAGGAGTTGCTCAACAAATACTTGTTAACTCTCATATTTGTGTAACACTTTTAATACAGATATATCTCATTTTGCCTTCACAACAGCTGGGAACTATCTTATCTTCATAAAACAGAAAAGAGAGATGTCAAGTCATAAGTTTAAGTTCAGATAACTGGTAATGACCACAATTTTTGTTATTTTCATATTTTTCCCTAAAATATGGACTTTTTAAAAAAATGTTTTATTTATTTATTTAGCATGAATGGGGGTAGGGGCAGAGGGAGAGAGAGAATCTCAAGCAGACTCCCTACTAAGTGCAGAACCCAATGTGGGCTCACAACCCTGAGAGCACAACCTAAGCCAAAACCAAGAGTCGGGTGCTCAACCAACTGAGCCATTCAGGTGCTCCTAAAATATGGACTTCTAAAAATGTAATTTTTGTTTAATTTTTACATTTTATACATTTTAACTTTTCAGTTATCAGCAAAAAATGGCTGAAATAGCTAAGTAGAGTAGGTTATATGCTATGTGTCATGTTTGCTTGGGTTTGGTTGGGTCAAAAGCCAAAATGATAACTTATAAAGAGGCATTCATTTGGAAGTGAAAAAATAGAGTGATAGTCCTGAAAAAAGAATAATCTTCCTCTTCCATTTCTTCTTCCTCCTCTGCTCCCCTTTCTCTTTCTTCACCTCCTCCTCCACCACCATTCCATGCTTCCTACTCCATCTCCCTCTCTCCTTGCACTTCCTCCTCCTTCTTTGTCAGCAGTTGTCTTTTTTCCTGCCAAACCATTGTGCATTGTACTCTCTACAATTCACCACTCAGTTCTATTTTTCAAATTTATTAATCAAGGTAATTCCAATCTTTCAGAGATGGTACCATCCCCTGCTACATTCTCTGAGTAGAAAGAAGTTTGGTGTGGTGCTTTGTCAGCTCTTAGCTCAGGAAGTTTATATATATATATATATATATATATATATATATATATATATATATTTTAAAGGACCTGGGATGGGGAAAATCTAATATGTTCTTCTCCAGCAAGACAAATTAGGACTTTTCTTTTTGACTGATTACTTCAGTCTTATTTATTGCTTCCTGATTACAGCTCAATAAATTCTCACCACTAGATAACCGTGAAGAAGCTTTTTTAGGAGCTGAAAAGTGTTTCAGGTTTCCAAAGGTGCAGTCTTTTAGACTTTTTTTTTTTTTAAAGATTTTATTTATTTATTTGACAGAGAGAGATCACAAGTAGATGGAGAGGCAGGCAGAGAGAGAGAGAGAGAGAGAGAGGGAAGCAGGCTCCCCGCCGAGCAGAGAGCCCGATGCGGGACTCGATCCCAGGACCCTGAGATCATGACCTGAGCCGAAGGCAGCGGCTTAACCCACTGAGCCACCCAGGTGCCCCGGTGCAATCTTTTATATGTAATGGCATTCTAGTTCCTATTCTGCTTCTAAGTGTTTATTGCTAAATGTGCTCTAGACTGTTGTAAAGGAAATATAGATGTCAGGAACCAAAGTCTTTATTCCATTACTTGGAGTCATTCTTTTTTTGCTGAGGAGAGTCACTGATGATGATTCTTGCTATATATTTTTTTTTCTTCTCTTGGCTATGAGGGACTTAGAACTTTCACTTCCTGGTGGCTGTCTTTGTCAGAAACATTGTGTGTCAGCTGATCAGACTGCTTCAACTTGAAGTAAGGCACTCTCTAATTAAGGATTTTTATTTTAGGGGAAAGGGACAGAATAATAGACTATTAATGGAATAATAAAAATAGAATAATAATATTTTATTGTTCATTTTCTGTATAATTTCATCTTAATTTGTTAGCTCTACAATTTTAACCTATAATATGTGTTCTTTATTATATTTGACTTTTTTAGTTGCAGTTCTCCTTTCCAGAAAAACCTCTATATTTTCACATGACTGAAAATATACAAAGTTGTTGTTTTCTCTAAAGGTTTATTTATAACAGTGAGGACCTGGAAACAAATATTCATAATGGAGATTTTAAAGCATGCTGTGCCATTTTCATAAAATTGAGTATTTTACAGCCATTAGATATTGTATTAGTGATCTGTATTTATTGGTAGAAAAAGATGTTTATAATATAATGAGTGACTAAAGTTAAAACAGCATATGTAGTGTGATGCCACATACATAAGACTGTATTCAATAAATCTTTATGTGAATATATGTAACATAGATCGAGTTCAAGAAGGTGTTTCCCAAATATTAATAATGATGAGCTCTTAGTGTTAGGGTTTGGGGAAATTGTTCATTTTTTTTTTTTTAAAGCTAGTTTATTTAAGTAATCTCAACACCCAATATGGGACTTGAATTCATGATCCTGAGAACAAGAGTCACATGCTCTTTCAACTAAGCCAGCCAGGCACCCAGGAAACTTTTACTTCTTTTTTTTATTTTTTATTTCTTTAAAATTTTTAAAATATATTTTTTTAAAGATTTTATTTATTTATTTGAGAGAGAGACAGTGAGAGAGAGCATGAGCGAGGAGAAGGTCAGAGGGAGAAGCAGACTCCCTGTGGAGCTGGGAGCCTGATGCGGGACTCAATTCCAGGACTCCGGGATCATGACCTGAGCTGAAGGCAGTCGTCCAACCAACTGAGCCACCCAGGCATCCCAACTTTTACTTCTTTTTTAAAGTAGGCTCAATGCCGAGTGTGAAGCCCAAAGTGGAGCTTGAACTCAGGACCCTGCGATCAAAACCTGAGCTGAAATCAAGAGTTGGATGCTTAACCCACTGAGCCATCTAGGCCCTCCCAATTTTTACTTTTTAAAATACATCTATGTTTTAAAAATAACAACCACATATTATTATTTTTTAAAGATTTATTTTATTTATTTATTTTAGAGAGTGTGCATGTGTGGGGAGGGGCAGAGGGAGAGAGAGAGAGAATCTCAAGCAGACTCTGTGCTGAGCATGAAGCTCAATGTGGGGCTCCATTTCACAACACTGAGATCACAACCTGAGTGGAAACCAAGAGTCAGGCATTCAACTGACTGCACCCAACCACATATTATTTTTAAGAAAATAATTTTAAAAATACTCTATGGTTCGATTACTTGTTAAAGGGAAAAAAGCATTAGTTCATATACTTTGTATTTTTATTAATTACTTAATTTTAAAGATTTATTTATTTTGAGAGAGAGAGAAAGCCATGGGAGGGGTAGAGGGAGAGGAAAAGAAAGAATCTGGAGCAGGCTCACTGCTGAGTGTGGACCCCAATGCGGGACTCCATCTCACAACCCTTAGATCATGACAAGAGCCGAAACCAAGAGTTGGATGCTTAAACAACTGAGCCACCCAGGTGCCCCATGTACTTGTTATTTTTATATCTTCTAGATTTCAAAACATCCTGTCGTTTAAGAGAAAGAAAGTTTATTATTTAATACTTTGTGGTTTTATAATGTGCATTTTATCAATTATTAGTGTTTTCTAACTTTATATATATAAATAATATATAAAAATATATATAATATATATTATATATTATAAAATATAAAATATAAAAATATAAAATAATATATAAAAATATATATAAAATATAAAGTTTATATATATAAACTTTATATATATATATATATATATATGCATAATATAAGCTAAACTATTTACAAGACTTTACATGATTCCACTGGACATGTGTTTTAAAAGGTTCAGAATTATTGGGGCACCAGGGTGGCTCAGTTGGTTGAGTGTAGAGCTCTCGGTTTTAGCCCAGGTCATGATCTCAGGATTGTGAGATCAAACCCTATATCTGGCTTTGTGCGCAGCTTAGAGTACATTCCAGATTCTCTCTCTCCCTCTCAGCCCCCCCTTCCCCCCCCCATATAAATAAATAAATAATAAAACACAAAAATAAATAATCTTTAAAAAAGATTTAGAATTATTTGGCCCACTTAAATAGAATTCTACTTAGAAGTGGATCTGAGGGACACACTAAATAATTTATTGAAGTATCCTTGATATTTTATAATGAGTGAATTGACATTAAATATAGTAACAATTATTATTTGCCTTGGATTAAATTATTTTCATCTTTGTTTATTCCAATAAATTTATGAAATAGCATAAAAATGTGTTAAGTGATAATGATGTACTGTATGGTGACTAACATAACATAAAAAAAATGTGTCATGTGAATGTTGATTAGAAAATTGTTTGTAGTCTAAGACTCGAGGTTCACTGAAAACAGTAGTAAGGTCTAAGGACTATTTCTAGTATTTCAAAAAGTGTGATGAAAATACTGTGTTGATCATGATAAGCCTGCATCAGCTAACTGAAAGGTCAAGTGCTTGGGCTCTGGCAGGAGTTTTATTGCCTTTAAATGCTGACCTTATTTATTTCTGTATCTGGCACACAGTAGTTGTTAATGTTGTTGAATGACATGTTGATCAGAATAGTTGATTTAGTCATGTTAATGTTGAGTGATGTAAAGAAAATAGAAAATAGTGTGGTAGATGAAAGGATTTTAAAATATGGAGCATATGTAATAACCATAAAACTGGTGGTGAAATTTGGAAACTGCTGGTGGTGGAAAAATTTGGGAACTGCTATACATATTAATACTGCTAATAAAAGTTTGGTTGTTTTGAATAATTACCATTTTCCTCTTGACTCTAAATCTGAATTAATTTTTTTTGGCAGGGTATTTTAAGCCTTGAATATTGTGTGGGTATTATTGGTGGCAAACCTAAACAGTCATACTACTTTGCTGGATTTCAAGGTCAGTGATTTAATAAAACATATTTCTTTATTTTTTCTTTTAAAAGTCGGAAAGTTAATTTGGGATCATTTGGAAACAGGATGATTAACAGAGCAAAATGAGTACCTTATAAATTCATCAGTCCTACCACAGCCACTCATTTGTCATTTGGTCCACAACATAATTGGATTCTGTAAAATGTATGTTTAATTTCTGTTATTGCATAAACAGGCATAATTTATTGGTTTCACTAAACTTCAGAAGACATTGCTGCCACATTCTGGCAGTTACTATTTACATATTTACTTTTTACCAGTTTTAGTGGTGCTAGTTGATGATAAAATGACAAGCAATATGTTCTTCCTGTCAGGATAAAGTAGTGCAATACATTTTTCATATGCAAACTGTAGAATATAATTGTGTGTTTGTGAAAGTAATTTTATGACCAAAAATTAAATGACAGTCTCATCACTTTATAAAAATTCTGCTTATACAAGCATATTTGATTATGCAAAAGTTAATCTGTCCTGTGCAAACCTATGTTTCAGTCAATGAGTATCAGTCTGGCAAGCTGTTATTTCCAGGTTTTTTTCAGCTATTCTACATAGAAATTGGATTGTAAGCCGTGTAATAATAAGGTGTTTTTTGAATTACTTGTCTTCTGTTTTGTCCTTGTAGATGACAGTTTGATTTACATGGATCCTCATTACTGCCAATCTTTTGTAGATGTCAGCATAAAGGATTTCCCTCTTGAGGTACTATGGATAAAGAGCTGGTACTGTTTTCTTACAATATGAAGCAAACTCAAGTATGTAGAGATGTGCTAGACAGCTATGCTTTTATGGTATTACAAGTTAATAATATTTTACTGATTTATAAAACCACACTCCACACAGTAGTCAAAGGTTAAATAATTTGTTGCTGAATTTTAATTTATGACACACTTTCTTCTTCATTTATCTTTGTCTCTAACTTGTTAGATATCCTAGCCCTACCAAAATAAATGATCAAGCCTCTAAGTTATTTTGTAGATAAGCAGCTGAATATTACTGAAAAATTTAAAATATTAGGTATGTTTAATAAAAAGAAAAAGGGGGAAGAAAAAGATGATGGAGATGGGTTAGAATGACAAAGTGTCTTGAGACTCTCTGTTGAATTATTTTAAGTATAGTGGTTGAGGCTTAGCCCCTAGCTAAGTTTTTCAAGAGCTAAGTTGTGTTTCTAATATTTGTTTTAGCTCTGATTTTTTTTTAAGATTTTATTTATTTATTTGAGAGAAGGAGAGCATCAGTTGGGGGGTAGAGGGCGAGGGAGAATCAGACTCCCTGCTGGGAAGGGAGCTGGAATTGGGGCTTGACCAAGCTGAAGGCAGACCTTTAACTGACTGGGCCACCCAGGTGCCCCTGTTTTAGGTCTGATTTCTTAACATATTCTTTTCCTTTATGTTGGGTCATTTGTGATCCAGTATTTTATTTTATTTTTAAGTTTTATTATTATTTAAAAAAATACTTATTTAGCAATCTCTTTGCCTACTGTGGGGTTCAAACTCACAACCCTGAGATCAAGAGTTGCATGCTCTACCACCTGAGCCGGCCAGGCACCCCTGTGACTCAGTATTTTCATTCAGAAAATTTTGAGAGTGCATAAGTGAGGTATGTAATTATTATACGGTTTTGGTTCTTGTTTTCTCAGTTGTTGCTTTTACAGACTTTTTTTTAAAAAAGATTTTATTTATTTTTTTTACAGAGATCACAAATAGGCAGAGAGACAGGCAGAGAGAGAGGAGGAAGCAGGCTCCCTGCTGAGCAGACGCCCCTTTTACAGACTTGTAATATAACTGTAATCAATTGAGGGGCATGGATCACTATTTCTCAAAGGCTTGACAAATCGGAAATATGGTTTAATACTTGTTTTAGTAATAGCATCCTAGCTAATATTAATGTCTAGTGGTATTTAAATGATAGGTTATGAAAATAAACTGTAAGATTAAAATCTGGTTTTGAGGGGCGCCTGAGTGGCTCAGTGGGTTAAGCCTCTGCCTTCGGCTCAGGTCATGATCCCAGGGTCCTGGGATTGAGCCCCTCATAGGGCTCTCTGCTTAGCAGGGAGCCTGCTTCCTCCTCTCTCTCTCTCTGCCTGCCTCTCTGCCTAATTATGATCTCTCTCTCTGTCAAATAAATAAATAAAATCTTTAAAAAATAATAAAATAAAATCTGGTTTTGAAGGGCGCCTGGGTGGCTCAGTCGGTTAAGCATCTGCCTTCGGCTCAGGTCATGGTCCTAGGGTCCTGGGATCCAGCCCTATGTTGGGCTCCCTGCTCGGCAGGGAGTCTGCTTCTCCCTCTCCCTCCACCCGCTGCTCCACCTGCTTGTGCTCATGTGTTCATGCGCACTCTGTCTCTGTCAAATAAATAAATAAAATCTTAAAAAAAAATCTGGTTCTGAAAGATACATTATAAAACATCCTAGTGTTCTTTGTTAACTATTACCTGAACTAAAAGTACAAGTATCTTGAGGCCAGAGATAAGGTTTGCTTTCTGTTTTCTTCCTTCATAGTATCTTGTATGTAAACCTTAATTAATATTTCTAGTTGACTGACTGATACTGTGGGAGGCACGACAGAATTGTGCTGTGTGAACCATGTTGTAATTCTCTTTCAGCTGTGTGGTGGTGGTCCTGTGGCACTGATTCCTATGTCTAAGTTACATTTCCACTGTATCTGTGCCACACTAACTCCTTAAAAAAGTAGATATTTGAAACTCAGATGGAAAATTATTCATAGCATTCTAGTATTATCTAAAATAGGCAAATTAAAAGATTATAAGTGTTGATTGTTCCAACCAGTAGAGAGAGACTGTTCATCTGATATTTTGACAGATTCTACAAAGAAACCAGGTGAGTGAGTATCCTGGTTGTGTTTGCACTAGCAATGTTAGGAAGGCTGCAGCTCACTGTGTTGGGAGGCAAGTGCAAAACTTCCCAGGTGCATCAGTATAAGCTTGACGTAGGGTGTTGGTGGTGAGAATGGAAAAGAGGAAATGATCTTAAAAGACTTTGTAAAGTCTGGTGAAGTTATGTAATTTCTGAAATGCACAGAAGCATTTATTTCTTATACAGTAGGACACTGAGAAATTGGGTTTAGATTTATATATATATATAAATATATATATATATATATATATGTATATTTTTTAAAGATTTTATTTATTTATTTGACAGAGAGAGATCACAAGTAGACAGAGAGGCAGGCAGAGAGAGAGAGAGAGAGGGAAGCAGGCTCCCCGCTGAGCAGAGAGCCCGATGCAGGACTCAATCCCAGGACCCCGAGATCACGACCCGAGCCGAAGGCAGCGGCCCAACCCACTGAGCCACCCAGGCGCCCATAGATTTATATTTTTGAGATGCTGGTAGAGTATCTCCACATGTCTGGGTAATTCCTCTGGACAGTTTTTCATTTTTCTCAGCTTAGGGATGTATCTTAGGCTATTTAGTGAATAGTATCATTTATTTTTCTATGAGAGTATAACATAAAAACTATAGCAAAGGGGCACCTGGGTGGCTCAGTGGGTTAAGCCTCTGCCTTCAGCCCAGGTCCTGATCTCAGGGTCCTGGGATCAAGCCCCGCATTGGGCTCTCTGCTCAGCGGGAAGCCTGCTTTCCCCTCTCTCTCTCAGCCTGCCTCTCTGCCTACCTGTGATCTCTGTGTCTGTCAAATAAATTAAAAAAAAATAAAATAAAAAAAAAAACTATAGCAAATTGCTTGTGTACAGAAATGAAATTTCACTTTTTGCTTTTTAACATATTTTAAGCTTAAAATGCTCCAGGTGAATGTATTTTAACTGCCCTATATTAGACATCCTTGGCTTCTTATGTAGGTTGTGTGTATTTATGCTACTGAAATTTTGCAGTTGATTGACATAATTATACGAGCATTCTAAAACCACGTTTATACCTCAGTGATCAAAATTATTTTTTTAAAGATTCCATTTATTATTTGAGGGAGGGGGGCAGAGGGGAGAGAAAGAATCCAAGCAGGATCCATACTAAGCATGGAGCCTGACATGGGCCTCACTTTCACAACCCTGAGATCATGACCTGAGCCGAAATCAAGAGTCAGTTGCTTAACCAGCTGAACCACCTAGGCACCCAAAATTATTTTTGAAAGAAACTTTTTTGATCAATACTTGTTTTTGGTCAGTAGACGGGGAAATTAAAATCTTAGCTCTTTTATTCAATTCCATGTAGTAATCACTGGTAGTCCTGATACTTTGAGTGAATGCCTTGAATCCAATAGGATTATGAAAATTTAAGGAAGTAGTATGATATCTAAATATTTGAGATTGAAGAGGAAATTTAGCAGATTACATCTTTTTTCTTTTTTTTTTTTAAAGATTTTATTTATTTTATTTGACAGATAGAGATCACAAGTAGGCAGAGAGGCAGGCAGAGAGAGAGGGAGGAGGAAGCAGGCTCCCTGCCGAGCAGAGAGCCTGATGCGGGGCTCGATCCCAGGACTCTGGGACCATGACCTGAGCCGAAGGCAGAGGCTTTAACCCACTGAGCCACCCAGGCCCCCCTTGTTTTTCTTATAGTATTGAATTCCTACATATTTAGAGTTGAACTTTTAAAATATTGAAACCAAATCAGACCAAGTATTCTATTTTATTTTTATTTTAATTTTTAAATTTTATTTATTTGAGCTAGAGTGAAAGAGAGAAAGAGAGAGAGAGAACACAAGGCGGGGGGCTGGGAGAAGGAGAAGCAGACTCCTCAATGAGCCGGGAGCCCAAGCGGAACTTGATCCCAGGAGCCGGGGATCACAACCCAAGCCGAAGGCAGATGCTTAACCAACTGAGCCACCCAGGCACCCCTCTTTTTTATTTTTAAAAAAAGATTTTATTTATTAGGGGGGTTGGGGAGGGACAGAGGACAAGGGAGAAACAGACTCTCCACCGAGCAGGGAGCCCAACATGGGGCCCGATCCCATGACTCTGAGATCATGCATGACCTGAGCCAAAGTAAAACACTTAACTGACTGAGCCACCCAGGTACCCCCCAAGTATTCTTTTTTAAACTGCCATTTATTGAACTCTTTCCATATGCAAGGCACTCTCCTAAGCACATTAGTTAGTTGTTTGTTGAATTGTTTTCTTCCCTATAGTTCCAAATGCTTTATGTATATATTTGTACTAATTTTCCATTCTTGTGGGATACTTTCTTATAAAATATATTAGTTTATACTATTGAATTTTTGTTAACTTTGTAGAAGAGAATTTCCTTCATCTCTATCTATCTTCACAGAGTTTTTAACACTGTGAAATGAACGTACGTAGTCATGAATGCGTATATGTCTATAATTTTCATATAGAGAATAGGGTATAAAGGAATAGCAATGAGCACCTTAAGGAAAAAAGTTGTGGAAAAACAACTTGAAATTAAAAGCGAATGAGAAGAACACAAGTGGCTTCTAGCAGTGAGGGTATGTTGAACTGTGGGTTCCCACTATCAGTGGTTCAGGCAGAGTATCAATTGTTGGGATGAGAGGACTAGAAGATAATGTATCTTCAGTGTATATACGTATATGTACGTGTGTGTGTGTGTGTGTGTGTGTGTGTGTGTGTGTGTGTTTGATAAGATTTCTCAAACCAGAGACTGTTGTTTCATGTTATTTATGATATACTTTCAGAATTACAGATTATAACTCTTATATAACAAATTCTATTATTAAGGCAATATTTGATTTTCTAAATACTAATATTCCACTAGTAAGGCAGGAAAAGCCTTATTAATAGACATGTTAGTCTGTTGTGATTCCTAGGCCCTCAGTTCAAGTTTCAGATTTTAGAATGTCCATGCAGTGATTATTTTAATCTACCCTAGTAAAATCAGAGAATAGTGGCATTAAAGATTTAAGAATGATGTGATTGATTAGATAGATGGATGAGTGAATTCATCAGTGAAACATGTACCAATTATGAATTACACATGTGGACTGCAGTTAGTAGGATGTGTTTTGTAGTAAGGGTATTCTCTATCTTAGGAAGCTCCACCTTAAAGTATTTGTTTCAGTATTATTTGTATGTTTAGGTTATAGGATCAACTATTCCAAAAAATAAGCCTAGAATAGTACCTGGCATTTAGTAGGTGCCTAATAACTATTTGTTGAGGCAGTGAATAAATAATGTATTGAAAAATGAAATAAATGGGAATTGACTTTTTTTCAGTCATATATTTTTTTCAGAAACATATTTCATTGTCACAGAACTGTATCTAGTAAATACTCCCTAAAATGTGTTTGTAAAGTAGAGGGTGCTACTTCAGAATTGTAAAGATTAAAAAAACATCATAAGTACATAACTCAAAGAATTATCACAAAGTAAATATAGCTGTGAAACTCCCCTTGGAAAATATTTTAGTCTAACTTGTTCTGCAATAAATAGAAATGATTCTGAATTATAAATTAATGTTGGCTTGACTTCAGAATCTTCTTGGGTGAACGAAAGAAAATAGTTTTAAATTTTAATGGTATAAAATGCCTCTTTGTAATATGAATCCTAGTACTCATATAGTAACACCCAATAGCAGTTTTAGTTTTCAGTCATCGGAGATTTATATCTGTGTTTTTGCAAATAATATAAAAAGTTCTTTGTAGATATCAAAACACTATGAATAACAATGTAGTGTTTGTCATTACTATCTATGATCATTGAGGTAATACAGTGAAACAACACTAAAACTATTTGGTTTAGTCTTGTCGGTTCTTACATGAAAATAATAATTTAGCAAAACATAGGACATCCTCGTAGGTGAATTTAAAAAATATTTTGTTGGACCTTGTATAAACGTTTGGTCCTTTCTTATCCCTAAGTAGTAAAAACTAAATAAACATTCCTTATTATTGGCTTTGGAAGGAGTTGGACTGTTTTTAGATAGCTTGTATGTATGCAGAATAACTTCTTTTTTTAAAGTATTTTTTGGGCGCCTGGGTGGCTCAGTGGTTAAAGCCTCTGCCTTCGGCTCAGGTCATGATCTCAGGGTCCTGGGATCAAGTCCCGCATCGGGCTCTCTGCTCAGCAGGGAGCCTGCCTCCTCCTGTCTCTCTCTGCCTGCCTCTCTGCCTACTTGTGATCTGTCAAATAAAAAAAAAAACAAAACAAACAAAAAAAAACCTTTAAAGATTTATTTTTTATTTACTTATTTGAGAGAGAGAGAGAGAATGTAAGTGGGGAAGAGGGGTAGAGGGAGAGGGAGAAGCAGACCCCCTGCTGAGCCAGATGCAGAGCTCCATTCCAGGTCCTGGGATCCTGACCTGAGCCAAAGGAAGACGCTTAACCGACTGAGCCACACATGCACTCCTGGAATAACTTTTTGTAAATATGACCTAGAGCTGTCTGTGCCATGTACACTAATCTATTCCTGTGTATTGTTAACAAGTCTATGTAGTTTCTGTGCCTTTTCAGATCTGTTTTCAATAAAACATAAATAAAGCAGGTGACACAGTGTTGAAAAAAGTCCAACTAAGGCAATACTTGTGTTGACTTGTACTTTGGAGACTCCAGTTTAGTTAGGTTGGATCTCACTATATAAAGTACTAGTTAAGCATTTTATAGAAGTCATAGTTTTGAAAACACATTTGTTTGGCCTGTATTTACTGCAGTGATAGGGGATTTGAATATGATACATGATTGAACTATCTACAAGGGGAAAAAGGAGCTTGAATATTCTTGCATATTCTCTAGTGATAACATGGGACACTAATTGGATCACTGGGATGGATATAGGGGGAGGGAAAAGAGAGATTTTGACTGATTTACCATGAACATAAATATGAAAGCCTATGTTTTTCTGTATTTTGATAATTTCAGGTTAAAATCCCTTAGTTTTAGATATTAAATGTAGGGAAAATTTAAGTTTATGAGTTCAGATTCAGCCTGGATCATTTCTTTTGAGAGAAAGAACATGTGTGCACAAGCGAGTGGGAGAGGGGTAGAGGGAGAGGGAGGGAGAATCTTAAGCAGGCTCCATCCCCAGTGTGGAGTCAGATGGGGGCTCCATCTCACAACCCTGGATCATGACCTGAGTGGAAATCAAGAGTCAGTCACTTAACTGACTGAATCACCCAGGTGCCCCCCAAGATCATGTCTTAATTGAGCTTATTCTTCAATTAAAAAATATAGAATATACAATAAAGAATTTCTCATACCTGTCTACCATTTACCCAGTTTTCTCTCTCTTCCCTAAACTTGTTAATTTTGGTATATCCTTACAGTTCACTTATACAAACATAAACAAATTTGAATATATATATATATATATATATATATATATATATATATATATATTTCTAAGGCCCTCCTTTTTTTACATATAAGCATTTTTTTATACACAGAAAAACAGACTTTGGTAGCCTCAGTGATTTTTAAGGACAAGATATCTGAGCATTCAGGATGCCTGGATGGCTCAGTTGGTTAAACGTCTGCCTTCAGGTCAGGTCATGATCTCAGGGTCCTGGGATAGAGCCCTGCATGGGGCTCCCTGCTCAGCAGCGAGTCTGCTTCTCCCTCTGCCCCACCCCCACCCCGCTCCTTCTCTCTCTCTCAAATAAATAAATAAAATCTTAAAAAAAAAAAAGCAACAAAACCAACCCAGGTTTAATTGAACTATCATAGAAGCAACTAACTTGATTCTAAACCTTGTACTAGCTTATGTATGTCTTTTCCAGTGGCACATTTTTCCTCCCTTCTGCAAGTATTAAAAATGCATATCACTTTGACACACTTGTTATCTTTTACAGAATGGCACTAATGCCACAGAAGGTGGAGATTTGACTTGAATGTAAATAATGGTGGCTGTCATGTTTTACAGCTTTGGAGAGTGGAAAGGACCATTTGCAGAGGATAGACTAAAACACTGTTTGAAATATGAAAGCATATTTATGAGAAAAACTAGAGGGCAAATTTTAAATTAAGTAACATCTTGTATATATTCAAGTCCATCAAACAAAACTAAATTAATCCTAAAGAACTTTTAAAATTGCAGACATTCCACTGCCCTTCTCCCAAAAAGATGTCATTTCGAAAAATGGATCCTAGCTGTACGATAGGATTTTACTGTCGAAACGTTCAGGACTTCAAACGAGCTTCTGAAGAAATCACTAAGGTACTTTTATTTAAAATATTATAATATTTGCAAATGACCTAATTTTTATTAGACATAGCCTATCAGAGGACAAAACTCTGTAAATAATTCTTTTGTAAAATTTCCTCTTGAATGTTAATATTATTAGGACTATAGTGAACCAGAAAATAAGACTATTTGGGGACTCCTAGTCTTTGAGACTAATGAAACCAACTAGTGACCAGTTGAAAGTATCAATTGCTCCACTAGGTGGCACTGTTGAAATAAAAATCCCTTTGCAAACTAGCCATGTGCAAGCAATTAGGGTTATATTTTATTTGAAGAGGATTTTAAAAGGGCAATACCTTAGGGGGTAGAAAAAAATTAATGAAGTATTTGATCAAGCCAAATCGAGCATTATTTCTTGTTAGTCCAAGTGCTTCCTTGATTTTTTTTAAAGAGAAATGGTATTTTTGGATTTCTCAGAACTGCTTTATAAAATGAGCTGTGTTGTTACCTTCCAATAAGCTTGTCTAATCTGATCTATTCTACTTACAGGATCTTTGAAATAGGTTTATTTAACTCCCTCTCATAAGCTTTAAGCTTCTGCATTTTTTTGATCTTTGAGTACTGCTAAAACATTTATAGAACCTTAAGATCTATCTATATTTAGTACTTTAGAAAATAAAAAAGATTATTTAGGAAGTAAGCATAACTGGAAGGCTGTCTTTATTAGTATCAGTAATTATAGGCTATCATTTTAAGGTAAGTAAAACCAATACTAGATTCATTTTTTTGAATTTTCAACTTGAGTTCAGGTATAATAGTATTCATTACTGCTTTAATTTCCAGTTAGTTTCCTTCTGGAAAATGGACCCAGTGGGTTGAAACTTGATTTTTACAATGTAAAAATAGAATAAAAAGTTGAATAAAAAGTTTCATATAAGCTAAGTTTAGTTTACTTGACCTGCCATGTAAAAGAGGAAATTTAACAGGAAAATGACAGAAAAATGAATGAGATGAGAAAATGAGATATGTGAGAACCTTTCCTTATTCTTCATTTCTCATAGTTGTCGTCTTTTCATTCTCCTTTTTAACCCAGAGGGCCAAGTGAATGTAACAAAATGTGTCTTCGCTATTTCCCCCCTTTTCTTGTTTGAAGTTAGTATATACATTTGTTTAATTTTTCTTTGGCAATTCTGTCTTTATAAAATATCATGTAAAATATGTGCTAAAATATACAGTCCAGATGATATTGTAATACAGATTTATGTTGATGAACATTTCCCTTTTAAAGCCGTTTCTGTTTCTACCAGTTTATTTTCTGTCTAGGTGAAAATAAGTGTGTTTAAAATAGTAGTCTATTCCTGGAATAGAAACAAATCAAATTATCATTACCAAATTAAAAAAAACAAGATGAACAAATGAGTTGCATTTGATATTTTCTGATTAAAACTTAGTTTTTGTCGGTTTTATATATTATATATATATACACACATACATAATATATATTGCCTATATATTTATATATATATTGTTTTTACATGGGAAAAATACCTAGAAATTATTGCTTATGATGCATCAGAGTAATATGCAATATTAAAATAAAGGAAAACCATATTGAAATGTCATTTTGAAGTACTGAGAATTTTTCCAGAGTCAGTTAACTTTTTTTAATAATAGTGTTGTTCTTAAATTAATAGCTTTTCATAACAGTATCAAAAACTCTATTTGTTTATTAATAACTTGATCATTTACTTTTGCTTGGAAAGTTGTAAGTGAAATAGTTTTCCTTTTCATCTTAAAAACTGAACTTGGCATTTTTTTCTTTTTAAAAATTAATACATTTTATATTATTTGTTTCAATGCAGGATATAATTTCAGTTGTCTCATTTTGAAAATAAAGCTAGGTAGCCTAGATTCTCATGTTTAATTTATAATGTGTGGATGAGTATTCTAATGCCATATACTACGTGATTTTTAAAATGTTAATAAAAATTGTGAAATTAATTCAGTGTTTAGCACAGCTCAGCCCAGCAAGTATCTGAATAACTACCATGTCGAGAGCATAAAACGACCTAGCCATAATACTGCTTTTGAACAGGTATAAGGTTTCTGCCCTCAAGTAGCATTTGTAGGCCAGGAGAGGGAATAAGACAAGTACACATACGTTACATTGAATATGATAAGCACCAGCACAGAAATAGAAACAAATTGACAGCAGAAGGAAGGATGTTGAAATGAGAGCAATGTCACATCCCAGTCAAAGTTCTTTATTGTGATGGTGATATTTAATTTGGGCCTTAAAGTGTAGGCTTAATTTTTACTGCCTTAAGGAAAAGAAAGGTTACTTCAAGCAGAGGAAATAACAAGAGGAATCGTATTGGAAAAGGAAAGTGTAGAGCTTGACTAGAGAATGGCAAATAGTCCAATTTGTTAGTGCCAAGGGTACATGTAGAGTAGGATTTCTGTCTTCTGACTCCCTAAATTAGAATCCTCTATGGCCTGAGAGTCTCCAGTTTTAACAAGCCTCCCAAGTCTTGTATTCCAAATTTGAGAACCATTGGTGTAAGACTGCAAACCAAAGTGTGACACTTGATGTTTTTAGGTAGCACCAGGATACATATTTTAATCCATATGTATTTATTTATATTCATATTAGAAAAATATAACTGGCATATTAAACATGTGATTTCCTGTTAATTAGTGATTTGTACAAGGCTATTTAAGTTAAAAACTATGGAAAAAAAAGAATCATTAATCGTAACAGAGATGGCGTACATAAAAAAATAATGAAGATGAAGAGGGTATATGTGTGTCCAAGGCTTGGAAAACACTGCTGTAGGAAATAGCAAAGGATGAGGCTAGAAAAGGAAGTTGGATAATATTGTGGAGAGTCTTGAATGCCAGGCTGAAGAGGTTTGTAATTTAGCAATATGTTGATTTTATTAAATTAGTTTTTTTAATTTTTTTTAATTTCAAGCATACAGAAATATAGAGAATAACATAATAAATACCCATGTGCTACCATTGAGCATAAGGGAAAAATATACATATATAACTGAAGCATTTTGACCTTCCTCAACCTTATTCTCTTCCTTTCTTCCCAGTGGTAACTATTATCCTATGTTAGTATATTATATTCATACTTTATATATATATCCATAAACAATATATACTACTTTGTGTGTTAGTAAATTTATCACAAATGATATGTTTATATGAAAATGTATATATCCTGCCATTTGCTTTTTCATTTAATAGTGACTTAGAAATTAGATCTCTATGGATTGGTCTAGCTTATTCATAACTGCTGAATAGTAGTACATTTTACAATCTACTACTTTTTATTTAAACTGTCTTTTGTTAATGGTCATCTAGCTTGTTTCATTTTCCAATTACAAATAATGTTTTTAAGAATATCCTTGTTCTTATCTCTTCATTTACATGTACTATGTTAACTGGGATTATTACAGTAGATACCCTAGACACAGTAGAGTAGAACTGCTGGGTCTCAGGGTGTGCATATTTTTAGATTTGCTAGATATTGTCAAATGCTCTCCAAAGTGATCATACCAAGGAGTATATGAAAATTTCCAAAGATTCACATCCTTATTAACACTCGATATTGTAAGACTTCTATACTTTTATCCATCTCATGGATATAAATATAAATATGACTACAAAGTATTTTTTTGTAGTTTTAATTTGTATTTCCCTGATTAATAGTGAAATTGAGCATCTTACCAAAGTTTATTGGTCCTTTGGTTCCCCTTTTGTGAATTTCTTATTTATTCCCTTTCTCTAATTCTCTGTACGGTTATTTGAGTTGAAGGAAATCAAATCAAATTTATAATTTTGGATACTACCATTTGTTGGCTGTATGTGTTGTAAATATATTCTCCCAGGCTACTGTTTTCACTTGTTAAGGGTGTCTTTAATTTTTGTCAAATTAGTAAATCTTTTTCTTTATGGGTTTTGAATTTTTTATCAAAAAAATCTGTAATAACCAAAGTCATAAATAGAATTCCTAAATTCTCCTACATTTCTTCCAAAAGTTTTATGTTTCACATTTAAAACTTGTATATGTCTTAAGATCTGTATCTTCTTTGGGAAAAAATGGATAACTGGTTGTTCTAGCATTATTTATTAAAAAGCTAACCTTTCTTCATTGATTTGTAATGCTTTTTTCAAAGACTTGGATGAGGACAGAGCTGTGGGATGGGAGAGGAAGGAACTGTTCGGAGAGTTTGTGAAGGTAGAATCTATAAGATCAAGAAGTTTTGAGGGCAAGTGAAAGGCGGAGCCCCAAAACAAGTCTGCTTTACATCTGAGTGTCTAGGAGAAAAAAATTATTAGTTCATTAATATGGCAGTTCAGGTAATCAACAAGATTTGAGTGCTCTCACCCCTACCATTCTGCCAAGGCTCCACATGGCTAAGTCCATGGTCATATCTTAGTCTTCATCCCACGTATCCTGACATTAATATTTGCCATAGCTGAACATTCACTACACCTTCATACATCTTCTTCATTTGGCTTCTATAACCACTCTCTTGATTTTTCTCATTCTTCACTAGTTTTTCCCTCTCATTTCTCCTTTGTCTGCTCTTCTCCCCAGGCTCTTAATGTTGGAACACCCCATGGCTTAGTCTTCAGTTCTCATGTCTTTTTTTTTTTTTTTTTAAAGATTTTATTTATTTATTTGACAGAGAGAGAGATCACAAGTAGACGGAGAGGCAGGCAGAGAGAGAGAGAGAGGGAAGCAGGCTCCCCGCCGAGCAGAGAGCCCGATGCGGGACTCGATCCCAGGACCCTGAGATCATGACCTGAGCCGAAGGCAGCGGCTTAACCCACTGAGCCACCCAGGCGCCCCTCATGTCTTTTTTATCTTGGTGATCTCTTCTAGTCCTATAGCTTTAAATATCAAATATAACTAAAACCAAGATCATGTCTTCAACTCAAACCTCTCTTTCCAGTTATAGATTACACATGTCCAGATGCATTCAGCATCCTATGTATGTCTGATGCACACTTCCAAA